AAAACTGACTCTTGCTAATAGTTAAAAATAAATTATAAACCAAAAACCATGCCAAGTATATGCATTACCTCCCACAGTCTTTTCAACAGTATAATGTAGATACTTTCACAAGAAAATGGAGACTCAAAGTAGTAAAATAACTTACTAAAAATAATCTGGGAGAGTTAAGTTTGGAATCCACATCTGTCTGACTAGAGAACCTAAAGTCCTACCCACCACATCTGGATTCCCCACCCCTGGGCCACAGACCAGTACTATCCATGGCCTGTTAGGCCGCACAACAGGAGGTGGGCAGCGGGCCAGCAGGCATTACCACCTGAACTCCACTTCCTGTCAGACCAGCAGTGGCATTAGATTCTCATAGGAGCACAAATACTATTGTGAACTGCTCATGCAAGGGATCTAGGCTGTGTGCTCCTTACGAAAATCCAATGACTGATGATCTGAGCTGGAACAGTTTCATCCCAAAACCATCCCCGAGCCCCCACCCTGGTCCATGAAAAAACTGTCTTCCACAAAGCTGGTCCCTGGTGCCAAAAGGTTGGGGACTACTGTACTACATAACAGTAACTTCATTTTCTATGCTAATTTCTTGATAGATAATAGAACTAAAGATTCATAACTTGACTCCTAATTATACTAGATACTCTGCACACAAGCCAAAGCCATTTTCACTAAGCAGTGATTCAAAAGAAGTTTTAAAAGATAATTCGCCAAGTAGAGATGTGAAATTTAGTGTCAAAAAAGCATTATTCAAACTGCAGTATATATGAATCAAAGTGCTTCTGTGGCCTTTTGCCCTATTTAAACCTATAATCTGATTAAGAATGCAATCAAATTGCTATGTAGTACCCATCACTTCATTTGCCACAGAGTTAGTTTTAGGTCAACATATGGAATAAAACGGGATAGAAATGAGAGAAGACTATGACTATTAGACTACAATTAAAGTTGCTAGCATCTTGGAAGACAAGTAGTAAACAAAATACCTGTGACAAACCAGAAAGATAATCTATCAAAAAAAAAAATTAAATTCAATCAAATGTGTTTTTTTTTTGTTTTTTTTCCCTTGAGGCCGGGTCTCACTGTCACCCAGGCTGGAGTGCAGTGGAGTGATCACAGCTCACCGTAAACTCAAACTCCTGGGCTCAAGAGATCCCCCTGCCTCAGCCTCCTGAGTAGGTGGGACTACAGGGACATGCCACCACACTTGGCTAATTTTTATTTTTGTAGGGATAGGGTCTTGCTCTGTTGCCCAGGCTAGTTTCAAATTCCTGACCTCAACGATCTTTCCACCTTGGCCTTCCAAAGCACTGGATTACAGGCATGAATCACTGCACCCAGCCTAAATGTTTATGTATTATAATTTAGTACTGACCACTTTCCATACACCAAACACTGTGGTAGGCATTGAGATTACAGAGATAAAACAGTGAAATGAATGCTACAGTACACACAGGTATGCACAAAATATCATGGCACCTAGCTTGAGGTGCAATAGGAGAAACCGGTTTAAAAAAAAAAAAAAAAAAAGGTTAGAGAGAACTTCCTTTTGAAGAAAGCATTTAAAGCATCTGAGCCAAGTCTTAAAGGATAAATAGGAAATGAGACAAATGAAGAAAGGTAAGGAACAAGATAAAGTCACAGAAGCAAGAAAGCACAGTCCATTTAGAGAACTGAAAAAGTTTAACTTAAGATATACATAGGGCAAATGTTGGAAAATGAGGCTAAAGTGAGAAATAAGGTCTACATAAAGGGTCTTCATGTGGGTGAATTTTATCTAGAAAGTCACTGACAGAGGTTAAACACGGTGCGACATGAAAAACAGTAATCTAGGTTAATAAAAAACCAAGGTCCTATACTAAGACAGTGACCGTGAAAATGAAGAATGGAGCAAACACGAAAATGTTATGGAAACAGACACAGAGAATGAGGGAAAGGGAAACATTAAGATGACAGGCAAGTTCCTAGTATCATTACCTAAGTGGACACTGATGCTGTGACTGAAGAGATAGAGGGTACTTACTATGGTGATACCTCAAAGTAATAAGTAACTCCCATCTTTCATGTATTAAAGAAAAGCTTTCAGGAGGAAGCGATAACTACTGTGGGACTTAAAAGACTAACAGAAATTAAGACAATGGGTGAGAGTCTGAATGTTGACAGTGAAGTAGAAGTACTGAATGATGGCAACAATGAGGCCAGAGAAGGAAGAAGTAGCCACATCAAAAGTGCTTTATAAGCCATATTAGGACTTTTGGGTTATATCATTCAAGTATTGGAGAGCTTTGTTAGGGTTATAAGGAAGATAATGAAAGGATCACATTTTTATTTCAGAAAAATGACTGTACGACATGAAAATAGACTGCAGGAAGAAACCAAAATTGAAATGGGACGAGGGAGAGATTACAAAAATAACCCAAGTAAAAGATAGCATTAACTTGAGTTAGAATGAATGGTGTTAGTGGGAACTTACATAAAGGATGAGTGGATATATCTGCTATCTAGCAGGACTGAGTATCTACAGGGTAGAGTTAAAGCGAACACACACTTTCCTTTTTTTTTTCTTTTAAAGAAATAGAGACAAAGTTACACTACGTTGAGAGGCTGGTCTCAAACTCCTGGACTCAAGCGATCCTCCCACTGCAGCCTTCCAAAGCACTGGGATGATGGTGTGAGACACCCCATCTTTCTTTTAATATAACCACCCACCAACCCAGTCATTCACCTGTGTTTTTGTTTTTTCTTAAACAAATTTACTAACTTACAAAAAGTACAGTTCTTTTTAAAAATTAATGATAGTCAAAACGTTCTAATTGTAACTTATAACAGCTCAAGAAAATTAAGAAAGGCTTTAAGAAGAAAGTACATTTTGAGATGAACTTTGAAAGATTAATATTATCAACATTTAATCACTAATGGATTAAGAAAAAATCAACAAAATCTGGCCAGGTGCAGTGGCTCATGCCTGTGATCCCAGCACTTTGGGAAGCCAAGGCAAAGAGGACGGCTTGAGCCCAGGAGTTCAAGACAAGCCTGGACAACATGGGGAGACTCATCTCTTCAAAAAATAAAAAATAAAATAAAATAAAATCTGTACTTAAAATGTTAAAGGTGACAACTACAATTCTTACATGTGAGAGGATGGTAGTGCCACTCACAGAACACAGAAAAGGGGCAAGGTGTGCCTGTATAAAGACAGACTGAATGGGAAAGATAACAGTAAATACAAGGTTTTGTTTGTTTTTAGTAAATATAGTTTTGAACAGGCTGCATTAGAAGTTCCTGTGTGACATTTAAGTACTGAGAGCAACTAAGCAGGATATGATATTCAAGACTGAGAAAGAATTATCTGATACTCAACAGAGAAAAGTGGGCTTGAGATGGTAATTTTGATGTCAGCAGGATGTACATGGTAACTGAAACCCTAAGAGTAGATACTACTCAAGGAGAATACGCAGAGTGAGAAATGTGATGGCCTAGAACATATCCCTACAAGTCATCTACATTTTACAGACTGGTAAGTAAACAATGCCCATAGAAAGATACTGAGAAGATGCAGCTGGATGAGTTAAAATGGAAACTGAGTATCTTAAAAACTAAGAGTCTTTTTGGAAAAAAATAAGTCAACAATATTCAATGCTGCCACGTAAGTTAAAGACCCAAATGTTACAACATTTAGCCTCAGGAAGATAATCAAGAACAATTTCAGTTAAGAAAGGGGGACTGGAAGACAAGGCAGAAGAGACTACAAGGACAGGCAACTCTTTCAAGAAGCCTAGTTATGAATAGGACAGACAGAATATAGAGACTAAAGGGATTTGTAATTGAGGGAGGGTTTTTTAATGGTTTTGCTTACATGTTTTCCGAACAGAAGTTAACAAGTAGAGCACAAAGGAGCTATCAACAGAAGAGGTTCCTGATACAGTTGCGGATGGGATTCAAAGCATGGATGACAGACCATCTTTCAATAGAGGAGAAACAAATATATGACACACAAGACATTAGAGGGTGTATGTATTTTCTCTTTTTTTGAGACAAAGTCTCACTCTTGTCCCCCAGGCTAAAGTGCAATGGCACTTTGGCTCACTGCAACCTCCGCCTCCCGGGTTCAAGCAATTCTCCTGCCTCAGCCTCCTGTGTAGCTGGACTTACAAGTGCCTGACACCATGCCCGGCTAATTTTTGTATTTTTAGTAGAGACGGGGTTTCGTCGTGTTGGCCAGGCTGCTCTCAGAACTCCTGACCTCAGGTGATCCATCCACCTCGGCCTCCCAAAGTGCTGGGATTACAGGCATGAGCCGCCATGCCCAGCCTATGTATTTTCTACTCACATGAGTTTGCATAAGTTCTTCTAGAACAGAAAATTTATATAAGTTTGGATACATCTGTATATTGAAATTTTAACAATGGTGTTCTCTGTGAAATGAGATGATAGTCTATATTATTTTATTATTTTTGTCCTATTTTCCAAATTTTCTATAATAAGCATGTAACTTTTAAAAAATGTCTTTGTCCTTTAAGTTATAAAGCATAATTCATTAAGAAAGAAAATCCAGAAAATAAAGAAAAGCAGAAAGGGAAAAACAATACCTATAACCCACTAATGAACTGCTTTCACAGCTTGAGAAAATATATAAATGGCAGTTACATTACTTCATTCTCTCTGACAAAGGAATGTGAATGGAAACACTAAATTAGAATAATCCAAAACTTTCAATTGATTCTTAACTGATTCAGACACAGAGGAAAGGGTGAATTCTGGTAACCTCTTAGCTACCTAAGTCTCTGTTTTAAAAGAGAATTGTTAAATCTCTGCTTAAAAAGGCAGAATTCAGATATTTGGGGGTATTAATTTAGAGCTAAATTTTCAATACTGCCTTCCTTCCCGGTCATAATCAATTTTGCTATCTAAGTATTAATTATAAATAACACCCACTAGTAACATTCACGCTCAATGGCAACAATTTTAAAAAAGAAAAATTTTAAATGGAGGCTTACAGTTGTGGTAAATTTGGTCTAACAAAGGGATCATTCTCTGCTCCATTGACTGCTTTGTTTTTCCTTTGTTTTGGTTCAGAATTGGTAGAGGGTGCCTGAGAATTATTAGCTGTGGGAGGTTTGCGTTTGGCTAGAAGTTTCCTTTGCCTTTCAATATCTTCCCTTTGCTGATTCACCCATTCTTGTTGCCTGTGTAAAAATAAACAAATAAAACCATATTAACCTTCCATTACTTTTCATGGTTAAATTGGAAAAAAATGCATAAAAAACATGAAAAACCATATAATATACATTTGTAACCTTCTGGTTCCACTCTTGTGAACCGACTTGTACTTATCTTTCAGGTCTCATGTGAAAGAATTTTTTTAAGTGAGGTGTTCTCTAAACCCCTAGATTAGGGAAAGATGTGTTGCCATATATAATTTCATGGGACCTTCTATCTCCCCACCTCATCCTTTCTAATAAATATCATTCCTACAGATGCTCCATCAGAAAGTGTCCGGTTAGACGACATCACCCCCTAAGAACAGAGACGGTGTCTATTTATACAGTATCCTGTTGTATCCCTAGTACCTAGTGTAGTGATCAGCACTTACCTGTTGCTCAATAAATGTTTCCTGAATGAAATAAATAAATGAGCTGAAACAAGCCCCCAAACTATTAAAGTATGGGGTACATGTTACACATGCATCTCACCACAGTATTTGCAAACAAATTTACAAAAGGCAAATATGAGTTTAATATGAAGAGAGTTATTTTCTAAATCTACTTTTGTTAAAAAAAAAAGAAATCGGGAATGAGAAGTTGGTGTTTTGAAATCAAACAGATTAACCTTAACATAAGAAATTTATGAGAAAAAAATTTTTCATAATTTAAGGGAAAAAAAGACAAGAAAATAGCAAGAAAACTTAGCACGGCTCTGAAAAATGGGAAAGTAACAAAAATAAAATTAATGCTTACCATTCAAGAATCTGAAACAATTTTGCAAATAGCTCCCTAATTCTAAAAACTAATAGATACCATGTCGATTATTAAAATGTGGATTAGATATTTTAGCAGTTTGAGCAGAGCATTAAGGAGTTAACAGTGAAACTTTTAAAACCCAACTTATCATACAACACCTTAAGCTTATTCTAACTGTAACCATGTTCTCTTTTAGGTCACCTCACTATGCCAGTAAAAATTTTCAAATCCTATATGGTTGCGATACTTAGAGCAAGTCAAATATTTCATGCCCTCCTCTCCCCAACCATTGACACCAGAACTAAAGGGCTCCTACTTTGCTAATGCAGAATTGACCTTACACACATCCCCTTCCCTATGGTTTTAGTGATGAAGTAGCAGAATATGACAGGAGTGAAAAAAATCAAGAAGAACCTAGGTAGAAGATTAATAGAGAAAAATCTCAAGAATAGCAAAGTGAGAACAAGACTTTAATCCAGTTTTCATTTAGAGGCAGGAATAAATTTCAGTTTTTAATAACTAAATCTTAAGGCTATTTTAGGGCACCATTAGGATGGTATAAATGCAAATAAGCAGTAATAATCCTAATGATTAAAATATTAATGGAAAGAATTACTGGAATAGATATTAACAGCTGATTATTCAGGGATGACTATACAGTTTAGAGATTATTATTACTTTTTATTTATTTATTTCTCCTCTCATCTTCTAACCACTCTGGGTTATATCACCAATTATAAATGGCTTGATATAAACATAGTAGGTCCTCAATAAATGCTTATTAGTGAAAGTCAGGACATACAAGTAATTATTTTCTTTTTTAGTAGTTATTTTTTGAGACAGAATCTCACTCTGTCGCCCAGGCTGGAGGGCAGTGGCGTGATCTCAGCTCACTGCAGCCTCCACCTCCCAGATTCAAGCGATTCTTGTGCCTCAGCCTCCCGAGTAGCGGGGATTACAGGCGCACACCACCACTCTTGGCTAATTTTTGTATTTTCAGTACAGACGGGGTTTCACCCTGCTGGCCAAGCTGTTATCGAACTCTCAACCTCAGGTGATCCTCCCAACTCAGCCTCCCAAAGTGCTGGGATTACAGGCATGAGCCACTGCATCTGGCCTCTTTTTTGACAGTTAAGTGGAGAAATTGGAACTACTGGTAGAATTTATATTTCAGAACATTCATATTGATTATATAACCGTCTCTTTTATTCATTGCAGGACAACTACAGGTCTGGGTTTAGTAGCAGAGCCTCTTGCTCATAAAACACTAAAAATTTACCTTCTCCTGCTTTCTACTTTACTGTTGATATGTTAGTTCATGCTTTAATCACCTTTCATCTAGATATCCCTCCATCTTAACTACCAATAACATTCATCCTCTTTCTAATAATATTTTCACATTACCATCAATTATTCTACAACTATCACTGTAGATATTCTGATCACGTACACTATATGTAAACCTTTAACAAGTCCCATTATCTGCGGAATTGAAACCCAAACTCTCTAATATCACAAGTACTTTATCCTTTGTTTCACTGTGGTATAACTAGCACAGCTATGCTGAAGAAAAGTTGAATAAATCTGCTGAGAGAGAAGGCCATTCTGTGGCAAGTCCTAGGAGGCAGTGTTTGAACAGCAATGTTGGTGTGATAACAAGTGAAGAGAAAGTTTTGCCTCTATTTCAAATAACTGGATACTCTGGAAAAGCTGATGTTCATGCTAGCATTACTCCCGATTTTCAAGTTTAAAAACATTTTCCACCTCCCATCCCCAAAAAAGGAGTAGCATATTTAGCACTCTTTAACACATAAACAGCCAATCAATCCTTATCTATCACCATCTGAACTCAAGAAAATATGGTAACTATAATTTCTCTGTTTTAAAGTTTGATCTGAAATGCAACAGAAAACCAACCACCACATGTTCTCATGTATAAGTGGGAGCTAAACATTGGAGACACATGGACATAAAGATGAGAATGATAGAAACTGGGGGCCACAAAGATGAAGAAGGCAGAGACAGGGGCAAGGATCGAAAAACTATTGGGTACTATGCTCACTACCTAAGTGATGGGTTCAATTGTACCCCAAACTTCAGTATCAGGCAATATACCCTGTAACAACCTGCACATATATCCCCTGAATCTAAAAGTTGAAATTAAAATAAATAAATAATAAATAGAGTTTACCTCAGAAATGCTAAAGCCACATGTTCAGTTTAACTGATAAATGATTTACTATATCTGAGGCAAAAGAGAAGTTTTTTTCCTTAGGAATAGAGAGCAGGCAAGTGCTGAATATTAACACGTAAGGAATGGGGAATGGGAAAAAACTAAGTAGGAAAATCCTAGGAGATAAACACACACACACATCTTCCAGTGAAATTAAATTTTCAACAATTTCCCTCTCAAAATATCATCTGTAAAGCTAAGGGTTCAGTTAATATGTCGGAAAATCAGAGTTAGAATAACATATAATATTCCATAGACGAATGCTAATTAATCAAGAAATTACTAAGCTAAAACTATAATACTCTTGGTTTCATATCCCTTTCAAATGTACTAAATTCTATGATTTCAGAGTAGTGAGGAACTGGAGAGCACAATTACAAATCTATAATCTTTTAAAGCAATGAAAACTCAAAGGAATACTAAAAACTTTTAAATGTTAAGAATGACTAACTTCACAAGATTCTGAAATGCAAAACCATCTGTCCATTGTTCAGTAAATGAAGCGCCATGTCTAACTGTTGTAAAGTGCCCGAGGCGTAATCGATCTTGCATACTCTTCTCTCTGCTTGACAATTTTTCTTGTGTACTCTGAAAAAAGGAGAAAAAAAAAAAATCGTCACTCAATTTTATTCATTAATTTATAAAAGCATACAAAGCAAAAGCGGCTAACGAAGGGGAAGGGAAAATTTACTCAACTTTTAGCCTACCTTTTCAATAAGAAGTTTCTTGCTCATTGATATGCACTTATTTAATCGTTCTTTGTATTTTTCAAGTAATTTTTGTTGTTCATCTATTTGCCGTCTGAGATCACAGTTAGCCTATGACATAAGTAGAAAATGCAAAAGGTCTAGATTGGGGAGTATGAAAAGCTTAGAAATATTATTAATGTTCTAAATAAATTGTATACAGATAGGAATAATAATATTAAATATCTGAGTATGATACAAGAAAAAAAAAAGCCTACTTAGCCATGAGATAATACTGTTAAATGTTACTTAAGCGTACAGTGGAAAGTACATACAGGGAAGTTTGTATCCATATCCATCACATTCAAATCCATACTCTAAGGTTAACTTTGGCTAAGTTACAAGAACCTTAGTTCAGCTTTCTTATTTCTAAATAGAAGCAACACAATCTACCTCACTTTGTTAAAAATAACTAAAATATGGTATATAAAGTATCTATCACTTAAAAATAAATGTGTTTTCCTCTATCTCATAATTAACAAATTAAATGTGAGTTTTCCTCTATCTCTTATAACAAAATATTTTCTCCACTGAACTTATAAATGACATACACAAGTTGCCTACCCAACAGCTGTCCTCACCACTCTTCCTTAGCAATAGGATACTAATTCTGTTCACTCTGTAGGTGGCCATATGCTCAGAAAAGAGGCCTCTCTCTAACATCAAAAGATAAGCCTGATTAGTACAGTGGCAAGAGAATAACCTATAGGGCTTGTTACAACAGATTACTGGGAACCATTCCCAGAGCTTCTGAATCGGGTCTCAGGAAGGACCTGAAAATTTCCATTTCTAGTAAGTTCTCCAGGAATGTTGATGCTCCTGGTCTGAGGATCACAGTTTGAGAATCAAAAGTCTAGGCCAACCATGGTAGAATCCACAAGATAAGGGCACAGTATCTTGAAAGTGCTGAGAGAAAATAATTGCCAACCTAAAATTAGATACCCAACACAATTGTTTTTCAAGGAAGAGGAAACAGAATTTAAAACCAATAGACCCTCAGCAATTCAAACAAAACCTCAACAATGTGTGTATGATGCATATGCAACTTGAAACCTGATTCTAAAATTTCTCTAAGACTGCGAAGGGCCAAAAATAGCCAAAATGAAGAAGAGGATAACCATGTATCATGATTTAATATAAAGCTACATAATTATAATCACCCAAGCCCCCTTCTTCCTTAATAATGGAAATTTAATGTTTTATCCTGGATTGCTATCTGCCTAGCCAAAAGACTACAGTTCCCAGCTTCCCTTGCAGCGAAGGATGGTTAATGAGATGCAAGCAGAAGTTGTTCAATGAGACATCCAAGAAGGCTGCACACAGAATTGTGCTTCTTGTTCTCTGCTCCCATCCTCCCTCCTGTTATCTGCTTAGAAAGCAGACATCATAATTGTGACCCTAATAGATATATAGAATCTTGTTGTGACCTTTGACATATAAGCCATGAACTAACAATGACAAGGTCCCATATGATACTGAGGAGTAATAATATCTGGGCTGCCCACTTCTGTTCTTCTCTTGAAAAATAAGCTTCTATCTCATTTGAAGGACTGTTATTTATGTTCACTGTTACTCACGGCCAAAAACAATTGATAAAAATTGTTTTATCAACAATGATAAAAAGATGCTGCAGTACTTGTGTAGAGACACAAACAGAACAAGGAAACATGATACAGAACACAGAAATAGATACACTTGTATATTGGAAACAAGATTTTATGATGATAGAGCTGGCAGTATGAGAATGAGCTTTTAATTAAATGGGGATGAACAACTGATTATCCATATAGAAAGAAACTGAAATGAAACCACATCATGCCATACCAAAAATCAATTTCAGTAAGACTAATAATTTATATTGAAAGATCAGCTGGGCATGGTGGCTCATGCCTGTAGTCCCAGCACTTTGGGAGGCCAAGGTGGGAGGATCACTTGAAGCCAGGAGTTCAATACCAGCCTGCAGACTCCCAGTTCCACAAAAAATAAAAAAAAATCAGCCCGGAGTGATGGCACAAGCCTGTAGTCCTAGCTACTCAGGAGCCTGAGGGAGAAATATTGCTTAAACCCGGGAGTTTAAGGTTACAGTGAGCTATGATCCCCCACTGTGCTCTAGCCCGGGTGACAGAGTGTCACTTAGGGGGGAAAAAAATGACCAGACTAAAAAACTTTGAGAAATAACTGCTATTACACAGTAAAATGGAAAATGCATACGCCCTGTACTCTGGCTATGTCTTTCCTAAACATATACCATAGAAAAATTCTTTCATATTTGCCCTGAAGACACGTACAAAGAATGTTCTCAGAACTGTTTATATTAGAAAAAGTAGAAATAAAATGTCAACTAAAAGCAGAAAAGATACAGAAATTATGGTATACTCAAAACGCCTTACAATACTGCAGTGAAATGAACAAACTACAGTTATACTCATCAAAGTGGACGACTCTCTGATATATAACGTTCAGTGAAAACAAGCTGGGCAAAAGGGTCCATACCGGAAAATTTCACTTAACGTTCAAAAACCAAATGAAATAATATATTGTAAAGAATGTAAGCACATATTTAATACAACCATAAAGAAACACCAAGGCATGACAAGCACAAAATTTAAAATAGTGGTTAAATGGTAAATGGATGTGAGAAAGTAAATATGACAGGATCAGGAAAAAGACACACTGGATGTTTTAAAGGTACTGACAAACACAGTAGGATCACAGGTGTTGGTTTTATTGAGTTTCTATACCAGTAGTTCTCAATGCTGGCTTACATTAGAATTATCCAGGAGAGCCTTTAAAACTACCAATGTCCAAGCCCACATCATGTCATCAACTTGATCAGAACCCCTCAGGGTAGAGTTCAGGCATTAGTACTTTCACCCTTCCCAACTGGTGAGTCTAAGGAGCATCAAGGGTAAGAACTGCTGCTTTAAACCCTTACATTGTAAGTATAATTCTAGATGTATTTTTAAATAAAGCTTCCATTAAAAATCCTTCAGAACTGCAGCAGTTACTTCATCCTGTCGGTATCAGATGTCAGGCATATAGTAAAATCAAAAACTTTAACATGAAATGGCTATTGGTGTTACGGTTGTTGGTCACATAAATGTTATTAACTTCCTTCCAGTTCTCCAACAGTTTCTCAATTCCCAATTTACTGAAGATCTAATAAAATATTTCACTTTAAAATTGGTATTTTCAATCACGTACTTAAATTAACAGAAAAAGCTTATAGAGTTCTAGTTACAGTATTTTTTTTTCTGAGACAGTCTCACTCTGTCGCCAGGCAGGAGTGCAGTGGTGCGATCTCAACTCACTGCAACCTCCACCCCCCAGATTCAAGCGATTCTCTTGCCTCAGCCTCCCAAGTAGCTGGGACTACAGGGATGCGCCACCACGCCCAGCTAATTTTTGTATTTTTAGTAGAGATGGGGTTTCACCATGTTGGCCAGGATGCTCTCGATCTCTTGACCTTGTGATCCGCCCACCTCGACCTCCCAAAGTGCTGGGATTACAGGCATGAGCCACCGCGCCCAGCCTAGCTACAGATTTTTTTTTGCAATGCTAAGTATTTTCTGAACAGTTTGACTGTTGCCAAATAATTTATTCAATTTTTTTCCCCTCTATGACTCATTACTTACCCTGAGCAAATCATCTATACGTCCCTCCTTCTTTTCCAGGTCCTGGATTTTATTACTTTCTAATGCTGCTAATTTCAGCATTGTGAGATCAGTCTAAATGAAAAAAGTTATTTTATTATCTCCATTATATATGTTGTTTCAAGCAAACACAAAACCAGACTTTACTCTAAATTCAAAAGGTAAAGAAAAATACATTTGTGTGCATATGTAAAGTGAATCTCAAAAAGTTTTAGTGCAGTTTTAATAACTTCAAGTGTATAAACGCTACAGACTTACCAAGAAACATCTAGAAAGGTCAATTACTTAGAATATTGATGTCCCACATTACAATTCAATATATCCGCTGCTTTGTGCTATACGTTCCTCTAGCTGATTTTTTTGAATTTTGCAAAACCTGTTTTAAATTGATAAGTAAAAACCTATCTATTTATGGTATACAACACAATGTTTTGATATATGTTTACATTGTGGAATGGCTAAATCAAGTTATTTAACACATATCTTTTTTTCGTGGTGTGAACACTTAAAATCTACTCTCAGCAGTTTTCATATACACAAAATACTGTTTTTAACTGTAGCCCTCATGATGTATAATAGTTCCCTTGAACTTATTCTAACTAAAATTTTATGTCCTTTGACCAACATCTCATGCAGCAAAACCTTTCATGATCTACTCAGTGGATGAAGGAATGTACTTGTAATCCTAGCCTGAGGATTATCCAAAGAAAGAGGTTTTGATACATGCACAACAGTTTGGATATGACCTCACAAATAATATCTAATGGAAATAAACTGGCAAGCTGAGGTTGAAGAGTAACATTTACTCTACTCTCCCAAACCCCAGTCTGAGAAAGTGCCATTCAGAAACCACCACACGTAAAAAATTAAAATGAAGGACTTAGTGCTCAAAATTCATGAAACTAAGTAAGTGTAGAAAATATACAAATAATTCAAATAATTTTTATAGTTTGTCACATATATGTATTTACATACATACAGTCAAATGAGCGGCTTTAATGTACACTTACAAAAAATACAGCAGTTTCACAATATATCAGTTACATATACTTGGAAATTAAGTTCAGAAAGAATCAGTAAACAGAAGTGACATGTTATGGTTGTTTAAAAAGCTGAGAGTAAATTGTGTGTTTCAGTTTCTCACTCCTTCCTACAAATTCCGTTGTTTTTGTTTAGTAATTACTGTTATCTTTCTTGATGTGTAATTCTGCTTTATGACTACATATAAAACAAACAGACATCTCAGTTGTTAGTAAGTTAGACAATGGTTTCTTAGAAGCCATGGGAAAAAAACATTTTAATTATCATTTACCTGAATAATTTTAAAGGATAACTGCTTTGGTTGTACAATAGGGTGGTCCCCAAATGCTAATGCAGTAGGAGAAGGGCTATTCGGTCGAACCTAAAAAAATTATTAAAAATTTTATATTAGCAAAAAAAAAAAACAAAAAAAAACAGGTTTCTAATTAGCAACAATTACTTAACATTTCTGCAGAAGTTTCTATCAGAATAATACCTACATTGAAACATAATTGACTTTTAGAAACCTTTAATCACCATTTATTCAACAAGCATTCATTAAGTACCTCCTACATAAGACCCAGTGAGAAATACAATATATTCCCTGCCCTCATGGAGCTTACATTCTAGTGCCATAAAAGAAATCTTAATGCTTTCATACTGTTTTTTAAAAAAAAAAAAAAAGGCCAAATAAATTATTCTGGAAAATATTAAAAATTTATTATGATAGTTCAAAAAACAAACTTAGTACTAGGGACAATAATACATGCCCTTATGTAGTTTAATATCAATTTATTAATGAATTTCATAGTTTATCTGGTCACTAGTTCAAAAATACACTCACTAAAAGCAGATTATAACATTGTATCAACGCTATCACTACAACTCTTAAAGTTACTGTTGAATCTTATGCCTTACTTTATACACAGCAATGTGATATCCTCAAAGGTACAAAATGAGTAAGACACAACCAAGTATGTCTAAAGACAAGGACAAGAAGGGGACACAAGAAATAAAAACAAGGTGCTTGAATAAATAAGTGAAACTCTGATTCTTTAAATTACTGAAAACCAATATTGTTTTCCTAGTTAGATACTGAACTTTCACACAATGAAAGTAAATTTAAAAATGAAATCCAATATGCAAAACAATGCATATAAAAGAACTATATCTAAAACGTTAGCAATAAACCAAAAAGTTTAAGATAATTTTAAGTCCGTGATTCTTTATCTATACTAAACTACATATCCTGCCTTTTTCTTAAGGATTCCCAGAAAGGAATTATGCTATAATTTTAGTGGTTAAGAAATTCAATTGTTAAGAAAGTTATAAATTAGGAATCAACAACTGAATACAGACTGATACAAGAGTACTCATGTTAGTCCCACAGACTCAACAGGCATTCTTTTAACAGAAACAATGCTTCTTGGATATAATTAATTCAGAAAATCTTTAAGAGGCTCACTTTCAGAAATAAAATTCCAATAGCACCAGATAATTTAAAAGGATTTAATTCATGTCACAGAAATAATGTATTAAAAGATAAATGCTAACTTATTTAAGTTCTCAATAAAAAACAACAAATTATAAAACTTATTCAATATACATAACCTCCCAAAGACTATGCCTGAAAAACTTGAAAGATGACTTACAGATGAGGAAGGAGTGGAATGTGAATGTGAATTTTGAGGAGAACGGATTGCAGGAGGTATGCCTCTTACTGGACTTGAGCCATTTCCACCCTGGTACTGAGTAAAAGAAAAAGGAAACATTATTATTTACCAAAGCAGGCTCAGACAGTTGTTATTTCAGATATGACATTAAGAATTAATCTAAATATACCTAATTTTAAAATAAGTAGTCATTTAAACAGATCCAGAACAAAAAAAAACTAAGGTCAGCCAAGTCCTAAAAGACTGAGAGACTACTGATCACAAGAACATGACAAGGATTATTACTCTATATTCTTACTATAATCTCGTATTTTGGTCAACTCAAAGACAAATAAATTCCTCCAAAGCAATAAACATATTTTGTTTTCCTCCCAAATCTTAGCACAGGTTCCCTACAAATGTTTATTGAGCCATATAGTCCCTAATCCCAAGAAATTCCAAAATGTCTACACATAGACCTTAGTGAACATCAACTATTTTAAACAGAATATCGGTCTCAAGATATCCAAGTGTTCATGGCACTATATAAAAAGAATTATAATAGGTCCCTTCCCTCTAACAGCACAAAATCCTTAAAAAATCAATTCTTCTGTACAAAGTGCATGACTCAGCTGCATATGAAGGCAAGTCAACTGATCTGTTCCATAGCTACCTTTTCTCCTATTTCAAGTTTCCATACGAAGGATGGGAAAAGAAAGTTCCTCTGGGGGTGTAGATTACTGTCCACTTCATCATTTCCTGTTTAATTACTTACATGAACAGCACAGATGGGGACTTCCTAGCATGTTCATTAAACAACTTCCTACAACCTAGGGATTTTGCCTTATTTATTTTACCAATAGAGCCTAGCATAAAATTTAGCACACAGTAGGCATTCAAGAGACATTTGTTTATTTGAATTGATCATACCTTTGGCAAAGGTTCTTAATTAATGATATCAGTAAGTGACTGACCTCAACCAAAAAGCAAGGTATCTCATGGTCAGCAACTGCTTTACTTTAGATTTTACAAACCCAAGAAAGCAAGCAGTGGTGGATTTAAAAAAAAACAGCCCTTCCCTTAATCAGCCAATTCTGCTCTCTCAAGTAAATATAAATATTTTTCAACTGAGTAGACCATGTTTGTTGTTTTAATAATTACCCTTAAAAATATTCTAATTTAAAACGGTAGCCAAAAGTGTTTCTATATAGAAGCAAGGCAACATTCCAGATTGGGTAAGAATCTAAATTTATTGTTTTCGCATTCTCTTAGATTCAAGCCTCTATCAAATACTTAATATCCATCCACAGGACTCAAATGTTGTTGTAATGTGATGAAGTCGGTATTGATAGTAGAGAGAATTCTGAGCTAGAGAGCCAGGGAACTTTAAGTTCTATTCTTTACTCCTCAATTCAGAATTTGCCTTAAATGGGTTAACCCATTGATGCCTAGCGTTCTATTATTGCTCAAGGTCACTGTTGCCAAGGTCTGACAGAAAAATTCAAAAAATTACAATGTAGGCTACTTTACATTTCTGGGCTTCAGTTTCATCATCTGTAAACTGAAACATTAATATGTATTTTGCCTATCTTACAGGTTATTATAAACAACTATGTGAGAAAGTATTTAGAAAACAATGAATGGCATCCCAATGTAAATGTAAATATAATTTTCCTAGAAAGAAAAGATACCACATAGTAATAAAGCTCTGCTCTAATCAAGCAAGTAATCAAAAGGTGACCTGTGCTGCTAAGAAAATATTTTTAGCTCACAGCAGAATAGTACTGAATTAGGAAAAGGAGATAATCCTCAATGAACTTACTTCAAAATAGTCGCTAATTTTGTGGCCACGTCCCCCAATACTTTTTCCTAAAATATAAGAAGCCGCATGTTAGTAGGGTACTGATGGGCATCAAAAAAATATTAAAGAGTCCACAGGACATCAGCTATCAATTTCACAAATATGAAAATCAAGTGACATTTCAATAGAGACATGCCAATTTTTAAAAGTTCCAGTTATTGGAGAATCATACAAATAAATGATGTAAGTGATATCCTGTTTTAAAACTACATTATTAATACTGCTTAATAACTACTAATTTCAGAAAGGCAAATCAGTAAATAAAAAAGTAGCGATTGCATCACTGACAAACTAACCTTTATCTGTAAAATAAAACAGCTTTAATTATATAAACCATAACATGATTCCTGTCAAACTGACAGCAACACGCTTCAATAGGAATGTTATTTTGTAATTGTATTTTGATTTTCTAAAAACCATTCCCAAATTAAATACAATGTTTTTTAAAAACTAGATTGTAAATATTGCTCATATATGACCATACTGACAAAGTGAACTAGCTCATTAGAGATCATGCTATTTTTTAAATATTTTGCTCTAAAATGGATTCTTCATCAGTCCTTTAAATCTTAATTTAAGAACATGCTAAGAAATATGGTGTTTACAGATGCTTTCTTAGGGGAGAAGTAGCCATCCTTGACTGGAACTATATAGAATACACGATTTCTTCAAGTTACAACTAGTTATATCACAAAGTCAAAAGCTTTCCTTAATATAAACATACATATATTTATCAATTCAATGCTGACTTACTTCATGCATTCATTTATTTTATTTAACAAATATTTCTTAAGTGGTTACTATGTGCCAGCCATTACTAAGATGAAAAGCAGTATTCTTAAAAGTTCAACAACTTTAAATTTCTTCTTGGAACAAGGTGGGGCGAATTTTTAAAAACTAAACAAGTATTCAGGACTACCAATGCTACCTAGAAATTCTGAACATTAGTTCTGCACAGATCTATTTAGAGGTCAGAGATGACTGTAAAGGTCTTATGCTAAAGGAACTTCCCTTCTGTCTATAATAATTTCTCCGTAGACTGTAAAGAGGTGCTATATTTTAATGAAGACAGATGGTTTTGGTTGCCTACTCCAGAGGCTATTTACCCAATTCTTTTTCCTTAATTGAATGAAAATTTTGTTCTGTTAACACCCTTCACCCTACGTGGCACATGTAACTTCAGAGGAAGCTGACTCCTATACAACTTCCACTTCCAGGTCCCCTTCTCTCCTTCTTATTAGAAATCCAATTTTGTTCAAGTATCATCCCTTCTCAATACAGGCTGTATGTTTAAGAATTTAACTCCATTTCCAGTTTCAAAGATGGGCCTGATTTTTTTTCTTTTTTAAAATTTCTGACACTATCCACCTAGAGATGGCCTCGTTTTTTTAAGGCAATACTACCTCTGTTGGTCATACTAGTTTTGGAATGGACATATGACCAATCTAGTCCATAAGATCAGTAGTTCCCCACCTTTTTGGTACCAGGGACCACTTTTGTGGAAGACAATTTATCCAAAGACCGCAGGCAGTAGGGAAGATGGTTTTGGGATGAAACTGTTCCACCTCAGATTATCAGGCATTAGATTCTCATAAAGGAGTGCATAACTTGGATCCCTTGCATGTGCAGTTCACAATAGGGCTCACACTCCTATGAGAATCTAATGCCGCTGCTGATCTGACAGAAAGCAGAGCTCAGGCGGTAATGCTCACTGGCCTGCTGCTCATCTCCTGCTGTACAACCTGGTTCCCAATAGGCCAAGGACTATAAGACCGGGAGTTTGGGGAACCCTGCAGAAGATGAGAGGAGAGGTCTGCTTTGGACTTGAAGTCAAGTTTACTCCAAAGGAAGGGGGGAAAAAACACTGAAAGCCAGACTAAAGCAAATATAAGTAAGGAAGGTGAAATGAGAAAAAACAATTTAGGCAACCATCCTAAAAACAAAAATAATCAGACAATTCTGCAGATGGCACACCACAAAGGGAAAAAACATGGTTAAACCAATCCAGAAGCCTCATCTTATTTGGGGGCTTGTTTTTGAGTTTTCAGAACAGTTGAAATCGTAGTAACTATTATATCTTTACAATAAAAAAAGCTCAAAGTCCACTAACTACAACTTGGGGGAGCTACACTAAGACCAAAAAGGAGCTCAGTGTAAACTGAGATATAAAATACAATACACCTCAGAAAAGGCACTAAAATGACTTACCCCTTCCTTCCACAAAGACAGTTGCTGCAAATATATTCCTTGCTTCCAGTGTGCCCTATATACACCAGTAATTCATGGGTTCACAGCTATAGATCTTATGGCTAAAGATTAGCTCCAACACATGTAACATTATGTATAAAGTCATCATTATACATGATTTAAGAGCCTAATTTATTATATTTAATTTTTAGTGTTCAAATTAAATGACAGTACTATTTTTCTACTCATTATAAGACATTTAGTTTAATGAAAATAATTTTCTTAGCTCATATCACAAAAGGTAGGTATGCAAGAAAGGATGGAAAGAAAAACTGATGCTTTAACTAGAGTCTCTCATAATTATTTTTATAGCCTTTTTTTTTTAAATAAAAAGGAGAAGTTTAAGTAGTTCTGTTAAAGTGAGATTGAAGCTTTTAATTCAAAAACAAGTCATTTCAAACAATACATACAAAGAATGAAAAATGAAAAGTCATAAGTTAATGCTTGCCAGATTTGGATATGATACTTGTCTTTCTAGGACCCAAATGAAAACAATAAGGGCAACTTTGAAAAGCCTCAAAGCAATAATCATACACTAACTACCTGTGCACACACCAAGATTTACAATTTCATATTATTTTACAACTAGAATATTAACTGGTTAAAAATTAAAACAATTAATTTTAAGTGTCTACTAGGCTCTGAAGGAAGATGTTGTGTGCTTACCCTGACTACTTTCATTCTGGTTTTCTGCTTTTCTCTTTCTTCCCCTGGATGATTCCGATTGTTTCTTCTCTGGTGTCTACAGAAAACAAGATAACAGATTTTTAAATGACAGGTTTAATATACAAAATTATCATAGTCAATATAAAACCACGTTTCAAGACCAAAAAAATAGCATTCAGTAGTGCTCAAGAGATGTTAATATACTGTTATTTATACACAATTTATTTAAAAGATAAAATTTCCTACTGTATAAATTTTTAAATTCCAAGTAAAGAAGATCTTGTACATGTTATCTGATATTCAGTTACAGAATTTGACATGAAGCGGATGAAAAATCCTAGAGTAATTAGCCTTGACAAGATTACCTTCCAATGCTTAACTGGATGAGGGGGGAAAAAGTCACCCTAGTGTTTCCTATTAGTTCCTATTAAGTTTTTCCTTAGTTTCCTCTACTCAAACATACTTAGTGTGTAAAAGTAAACTTGGATGAGAAAAAAAGGGGCAGAACACAAACCTGATACACACAATCCCTACTAAAAAGGACCATTCATTTAAATGCCTGGCAATTATCCAACAATTATAGCCAATTCACAGATTATGCCCTAGATAACGTATCAGTAAACTATGACCTGTGGGCCTAATCAGTTTGGTCACCTGTTTTGTATGATCGAATCAGTTTTTACACTTTTAAATGTTTGAAATTTTAAAAATTGAAAACAAAAAGATTATTTTGTGGTGTGAGAATTACAAGAAATTCAAGTTTCAGTATCCCTAATAAAATTTTATTGGAACACAGCCACACTCTTTCATTTAGGTATTGTCCATAGCTGCTTTTACATTACAACGGCAGAGCTGAGTAGCCACAACAGAGTCGGAATGGCCCATAAAGTCACAAATATCTGGCCTTGTACAAAAAAAGTTAAGAGATCCCTGCTCTAGATGGTGGCTCTAGTTCCAAATGACATGTGTGTTCCTATAACAGATAGCAAGTATTTTCATTAGACTAATACAAGTAATTTTTCTAGAGTTTGACGAACTTTCCTGCTTAGTCAAAAATTAAAACCAAGAGCAAAAGCACAAGGCAATGGCACCAGGCTTTCAAATTCTAGAAACTTCTAAGTACCTCTGGTGCCAGAAAAATTCCTGAACTTCACAGGAGCTCCATTAATATTTGATTGAATGAATGAATCTTACTAAACAACTTAAAATCTCTTAAAGCATCATGGTCCCCCAACAAGGAAGGGATTTAATACATATTTTTATGTCTCTGAGTGTGCCTACAATTAAATATATGAATAACAATACACAGCCTAATTCTTACTGAACACATATTGTTCCTCTAAGTACCATCTTGAGTATTTAAAGTTTTCTCACCTCTATTTTGCCAACAAGATAACAGATTCAGAGAAGTTGCACCGAATATTCATAGCCTCTGAATTCTTTAAAAACAGATGTTACATCTTCTCCCTACCTCACCCTCTTACCCTACTCCTAGCATACAGTTATTACTTGATAAATACATGAGTGAATATTAACTAACTTACTCAAGGTAACACTACCAGTGTAGCAGAGCCAGGATTCAAATCAAATTCAGCTCTGTATAATTCTAAGACCTAAATGCTCTTTATTTTTTCTATGATATCCTACATCAAGAACTAACTAATCTACTATATAAAAATATTTCAAAATTTTAGTGTTTGTAAATAAAACTCAATATGTCCAATGAAATGCTGGTATGTTTTCACTTCACAAACCAGAAGTCTTAGAGAAATCCACCCTAACTGGCAATCTACTCAGGAGGCAGACTGATGCACCAGCAATTTTGGGTAGGCAGTTTACTACTTTCCTTTCATTGTCAAAATTACCAAACTCAAACAATAATCAATCTTCTGTTTTCCCAGAAATAAAAGTATCACTATATTAAAAATTATTTTAAGTTAACATTTATTAAAGAACCCTAAATCGGCCAGGCGCAGTGACTCACACCTGCAATCTCAGCACTTTGGGAGGCCGAGGCGGGCAAATCACATGAGGTCAGGCGTTCGAGATCAGCCTGGCCAACATGGTGAAACCCTGTCTCTACTAAAAATATAAAACTTAGCCGGGCATCGTGGTGCGTGCCTGTAGTCCCAGCTACTCGGGAGGCTGAAGTGCAAGAATTGCTTGAACACAGGAGGTAGGGGTTGCAGTGAGCCAAGATCACACCACTGCACTCCAGTTTGGGTGATACAGTGAGACTCCATCTCAAAAACAAAAGATCCCCAAATAATAATTTATTCATATCCTTGCTAACTTAATTTATATTAAAAAATGGAGTCAAGAAAACATAATTTTTCAGAATACTTTAAGGTTAATCTAATTTTTTAAGCATGGCAGGATCCTATTTGAATTCCATCTTACATCTTGACTAGGTACTCTTGAACAGGCAAAAATGGGGGGGGGGAACCCATACAAAATGTTATAATTCTGAAACAGTTATATTGGAAACAGCATTTTCTAGCTAGTAAACAAAATAAAATGTAAAGTTCAAAATGGTTCTGTACCATTTTCTAAAGTATATCCTAAGGAACTAGTGTTCAATGACTGGTTAAGAAGGCTATATTCTAAATGGGGGTGAAAGGGGGTGAGTTCAAATGGGGTAAACAAAATCAGATTTCAAAATGCTAACATGCATTGGCTATCTCCAAAAAAGGGATGAGGTGGGAAGATACAATAAATTTTCAAAACTTATTTGAGATAACATTCGTTAAATACTTCACTGGATATGCACTTTAGGATATTTAAGGTTGTTTGTTATTTAACATACAGATTACTTAGTGTTTTGTTGTTTACCATATAGATTACTTAGTGAAGGTTTTTTCCTCTGAGGCCGAATTTCCCAGTGTGGAGGTATGGGACAGTCCATTGGGAAAAATGTCTTTTCATTAAACCAACCGAAAAGCAAACGAATGCATTATAATTATAGTAAAGAAAGCAACAAGTTTACCTCCTTTAAACCAGAGAAGAATTTATAGATGGAGAAGAAAAAGGACAACAGGACTAAAATTAATTTTAAGACTGCTGTGCCCCAGAAGTTATTAAAGGGGAAGGAGAAGGGAAGGAAATGAGTGGCTGAGTTAAGGTTCTAGCCTACCAGAGACATATTCTATGTTACCTCTACCGTGAATCTGCAAACACAGCATCTCCTATTTTAATATTGAGATTCCAGATGAGATTTCCTTCGAAAAAATAGTTCAGCAGCTTTAAAAAAATACTACTGATCATGACCAATGATTTCCTTGAGGAAATCCAAAGGACATCAACCAGGCCACGTATGTATTTGCTATATATACAATGTGCACATATCAAACATTTTATATAGAACATTTTCAAGATTGCTCTTGCTAATAATGCTGTCACTTCTTTCTTTTATTCTCTATTTTTTCTTAACTATCCTACTATAAATAGACCACTAAAGAAAAGATTAATATGGAAGGCAAAATAATAGGTTTGGCTTTGAAGTGAAGATGAAAAGAATGCAGTAATTATAAAAGGCCAAAGACCTCCAATATACAGTGAAACAGTCGTTAGGAGATAATGAAGAAAGGAGAGCCTAGTACACTTTAAATCAAGTTAGTTGTGTAAATGTTAGATTTGTAATCATATCAAAACCTGAATGACTACTCTGGCATTTAGATACTCCAAGATATTAGTGTGAATTTACACAGTATTTTCTACCAGTTGAACGTTTGTTGAAAAAACACAAAGACAAATTTAAAGGACTCAAGAGGTGTAGTGATATAATTTAACTAATCCTCCAATTTTATTTGGAACTTAGGTCAGTGATTATTAATCAAGGTTTTTATACCTAATCATGTGGCCTGCTGGTTTTATCTTATAATAAAATATGAATGAGTCTTTCTTCAATGTAAATAAGACTAAACATAAGAACACAGGAATCTCAATGCTGTTACAGAATGAGGGACAGAAATCAACATGAATTATTCCATGGAAACAGATAACCACATGTATTAAGCCTCAAACTAGAGAGATATTTAAAATTATGGAAATAAATGCATTACAGAAAATTTAACAGTATACAAAAAGATATTTTAACAACAACAAAAAAAGAGAGGGTGGATATTAAAGTCTGTTCTTCATTGGGCCTAACTGAATAAACAACAAAAATCAGATATCATCATTTCTAATAAAATCACTATAGTTAATAGACACAGAATATTTCAATACTTTTTGTTAAACAAGAAAATACTTTAAAACAGAAAAAAAAGTTACTCTAATATTAAACAGTATCCTTACAAAATATTCAATCTTCAAACCTAACAGAATGAATTTTTTTCTGATAGATCCATTCGGCCAAAGACTGGTTTCAAAACTGCAACTCACTGGCTATTCTAATGATTCATACTTGGGTATCAAATTCAAAGCTATTATAATTTGAACAAATGGCATGACAAACCTTTTTGCTGGCAGCTGGTAAAACAATGTTCAATTTTTATCCACATTTCTAGGCAAAACTTGTTGAACTAGATGTGAGACAGGAAAATGCTTGCTGCTTTGTATCCTATTTACATTTAAATAAAACGTGTTCATGAAATATGCACATCCGAATTCAAGGATGATTTTGAGCTGGTATGACCTGAAATTCACATAGTCTGTCTCTGTCCCAGAGTTAAAACTTTAATATTGATAACTATTATCTGTAAATATTTACTTGAACCTTTGACCTCTAAAAGAAGACCTCTATTATAATGCTGATTTTAATATTTAGTATAAAAAATTTATGTATGCAAAATTTTGGAATCCTATCATCAAATAAAAGCATTTCCTTGTAGTTCTAAGTAAATCAAAATCATCGCGTCAGCAATTTGGAGTTTAGTGTATTTTCTGCTGTACTGCCTTTATTGTTTAATAACGTGTAATATAAAAGATGGTAGAACACCAATAAGAAGAAATTGGGTAACCACCCAACTAAATAAAACATGTGCTGTCTTACAGGTATACTTAAAGTATGCCAGCTCATACATTTTCGTAAAATTTTTGTAAACGCTGAAGGACTCTATTTACACATGCACAGCA